CTATTCAATAAATTACATTTCCATGCCTGTTAAGTTAGAAACTGTATCTTCTTCAGTGTCACTTGTGTAAAGTGTTTTCTGAGCAACCATATCAATGTTGGCATGAAATTGTATTTTCAGATGCCGTTTATGCTTGGCATAATTCTGTTCGATATAGTCACACAGTGACTGTAAGGCAGTTATTGTTTATTTAAATAAGTTAATAATTTAAAAAACAAAACAAAAAAAAAAACCCCGAACTTTGTTGTTCTAACTTTCTCTAAGTAGTGAAGTGAGCTCCTGCGTGGCTGCCCCTCAGCTACCCCACTGCGTGCCACCACAGCGCTTCTGTGCCCCAGTGCTCCCTTTTCCCAGCCCAGGCCAGTCTTTGCACACCCATAATTACTTTTCCCCCACTTTTGGTATTTCAGTGTGACTTTATGGGCAGTCTTGGCTTCGTCTGCAATTACCAGCGTGGTTACTTTGTACCATCAGCCTTGCAAGATGTCCCCCTGCCAAAGGCTGCACTGTAGTCCTCTTTAGCTTTCCATGGAGCTTCTCTGTTTTTCACATAACTGTTCCTTAACGATCTGTGAAATCCAGCCATTCTGTCAGCTTCTCACATTATCTGTCACATCCAACTGTTTTCTTATGTCATGTCCAGTAGTTTTGCACATCCTGTTTATTCAGCTTAGTCTCTGGCCAAGGTTGTCATCTGCCTGCAGCCATGACAAGGTCCAACTGGGACGGGTTGGTTCACCTGATGTTCCCCTGCTGCCCACTGGAGCACAGAGCAGCCACTTAAGCAGCCAATACTTGGAGGAGCCTTGATCCCCGTGCTTTAAGAATTGCTGAAAAATTGTGCAAATCCCTGCTCTGAGACTCAGGCTCGTCTTGCTGCTGCTCTGTCACCTTCACCACCTCCTTCCAGTCTCATCTTGGTTGCTCCTGTGGCACTTGTCGGCTCAGCTCAGGCACCAGGACAAATACAGCTACACCGTTGTGCTTTGTGTTGTGTACATCAGCCTGTAGAGAGTCCTTCCATGCTCACATCCCTGTCTCTTAAAGGGTTTCGTGGCAGAAGTTGAAATAGGGGTACAGTTGCTAATGAAAATAAAACAATACATTCCCTTTGTGGCTTACCACCCATTATCCATCAATGTGCCAGCATTTGCCAGCTAGGGCACTGGTGCCATCAGTGCTGGCAGTGTATCTCAAAGTCGGTAGCTCTTGCTGTAATTGTAGTCTCTTTTCCACAAGAGAAAACATGGTTAGCATGCACTGAACAAGGGTCTGTTGATCCCAACAGTTGTTTTGCATCATCGCTTAAGAGGCAGTCAGTACTTTTAACACCTTATTTTTAAGGTTTTGGTTTTTTTTTTTTTTTTTTTTAGGTATTTGGAGGTTATTTAAAATGTTTGTCAGAGATGATTTTCAAGGAGAGAAGGAGAATGTGTGTGTTGGTTGGTAGGGGGGCTTTGTCTGTATTTACCTAATCTGGGATTATTGTAGATCACGTACTTCACAAAGTAGCATAGTTACCTGGTTCCCCCTTAACTTTTGTATTCCCTCCTCACTTAGAACAGAACATCTCAGTGATACCAAGTATTAATGTGATTTCAGAAAGCAGCTGTAATGTGAAGCCATGTGGAAGGTGATCAGAGTATTCTTCATTACGAGCCTTTGGTTGTGGACCTTTTCAATATTAAGGGAGTAATAAGTGGAGGGGGAAGGGGTGAACAGAAACACAGAGAAACAGAGCTGGTGAACAAGCGCTAGCAGAGCCAGTGACAAAGACAAAAAGTCTCCAATCACTAAGTATCAGGCCATTAAGAAACCACTGGTATTGCTTTGGGGAAGGCCAGTCTGGACTTGGTTTCCTCTTCTTATCAGTTACAAGGTGAGTATGAGGATTTTCTGCCCCATCCCTAGAGGCATTCAGGCTGGATGAGGCCCTGGGCAGCCTGCTCTAGTGGTTGGCAACCCTGCCCGCAGCTCCAGCCACAGGGACAGGGGCAGCACCTTTCCCAACTGGGAGGACAGGGACAGTGTGTGGGTTGGGTGCAGGCACGGGTGAGACTGGGGTGAGTGAAGCAAATGAGGCTCTCCGTGCAGCGTCTGGACTGGGACTGCTGGTTGCAGCTCATGTCCGTGGTGCCTGGTGCTGACAGAGGTGGGCAGAGTGTCTCTGTTTTCACCATACCTGGCAGCGTGGGTTGACCCAATGTGTGTGTGTTTCTTTGGCATGTGTAATTCAGTAGCAAACGTCAAATTGGACTAGCAGGGAGTGGGAGGCGCTGGGTCCAGGAAGGGGTGTTAGGTGGGTAGAGGGCCTGTGCGGGTGTTCAGGAGGGACCTGTGAGCATGGGGTGCCTGTAAGACAAGAGTATCTGGAAGACAAGAGTCAGGAAGAATCACTGGACTGGTCCAATGAGATCCTGGAGATGCTGGACGTGGCAACCACTTGGAGCATCCCTTAACATGATCAGTAAAAGAAGAGTTCATAATAGACACTCTGTACAAACATTCTCTTTGTGAGTCAGCAGTTCTTGAGCTATGTGCATCTCAAAGTTGAGAAAACTCTGCTGGGAAAAATATCACTATATCCTTTTTCTACTTTCCTGTCTGCTGTTGACCATCAACAGACACAGAAGAAAGGTCTGTTTATTCCAGTAACTTGACTTACATGGCTGCTTTTACAAAACCAGGGTGCTGCTGAAGACTATATAAGTCAAACATGCTTGTTTTGCCTTATATCGAAGTGATGGAGATGGTTTATAAATTTGGAGGTTTAACCCTTAACAGGGGGTTCTTGGCCTTATTCTGAACACTAAGTATTTCAGTGAAGCTCCATTCGTGATTTCACATTTCAAGCTGTAATTCTTTCTCCCTTATTATGCATGATTGTGCAGCATTAAGGGAATTCTGCAATATTGTCATATAAAAATTAAACCCTTGACATTCTAGTGTAGGGATTGCTAAAGTTTACCTTCATCCCCTCTGAACCAGGCTGCTGGGATAGGAAATAGCCAGTTTTATTTGGGATGAAGATCATATAATTTATTTTTTTTATTTAATAAAGCAATAGCTTGATGTAATGAGTAGTATTGGGTTCCACGGCTTCACTCATAGCCCCTAACCAACTATGTGACAGCAAGCATGTCACATAACCCTTGTGTCCTACTCTCGCCATCTGTGAAATGCTTTGGAAAGTCATGGAAAACTGAATCATAGGTCTTTTCCATCTCTATTAGTTTGTCCAAAAGTCTATCTGCCAGTAGAAGATTGTTTCCGACATCCACCACTATTTTTCCAGTCTGGATTCTGTCGTCCAAGTGATTGGGCTTCCACCATTACCTTTGGGAGATGATTTTGCAGACTAAACCTCATTGTCGGGAATCTCTGCTGACATTCACAGAAACTTTTTTTTCATTGTTGTTATTAATTTAATTTCATTCTGTTGCTTTATTCCCATTATTAAATGCCTGCTTATAATTTTAAGACATATGCAATTTATGCAACACCTTAAAGATCAAGGTAAAATGAAAGCTTTCTGTAAGGTACCTAATATATAGAAGGAAGGACAATGTAAGGTTTTGAAACTCAAGGTGTAAGAAAGTATGCTACTTGTTTCTTCCTGAAATTACATCTAAGTGCTCAGACTGCTCCAGATTTACAACAGAAACAGGGTAGAATATGGAAGCTTAAAAATGGAGCAGGATACTAAATTAAAGTGTTGGCATATTTATCAAGGATGATTAAGTACGGAAAAAGAGAAAAAGGAACAAGTATAATTTATTTATTGAATACGGAAGTCTTTCCCAGCACATTTTTGTCTAGATACTTATGAGTTGTCATGTCTCATAATTTGATTTGTATTTGAATCTTTGCTAATACATTAATTATTCTGAGCCAGTAATCACAGTAGTTGCTTTTAAGGGTTTTCAGTTAGTATCAGTTGAGCATAATGTTAAGTACAAGTGCAGCCTAAGTACCTGGACATGTCTTATTTTCTCAAACTGTAATACTTTGAAGGGGCACTTACAGTTTAGGTTTTTTTCTTCTTTATTGAGCACAAGTGTTGCAAAATTACTGTGTTTTAGATTTAAGTCATCTGCTTTCCTGGAGTTTTAGAAAATCAGCAAACAGATAATTTTCTTTAGGTGTTGAGGCCACCAGCACTGTGATATAGGCTAGATCTAGATGAAAGCTGTCAGAATAACTAGATTTCTTTGTACAGTTTTTGATTTTTCAGAACTATGAATGTGTGGAAGTTATTTAGCTCTGCATAACAGTAGTTAAACTGCTTTTAAAACGGCCACCTGGCAAACAACTGGTATATAACATGATTTATTTGACGCTGTGCCCTATGAGGAAAAGGCTGATGTTCAGTGTATTCTATTAATAAGCTTAATAGCTCATTTTGTGATACAACATATATAAAGTATATATTTTAAATTAACAAGAAATCTGTCATGGGGTCATGTTTCATAAGATACTCAACTTCTAACAAACTCCCCTTGTCCAGGATTTTCATTCCTCTATTTCAGCTGCCAATGGAAATGCTTAAGTCTAGGAATAAAAACTGCATGTGTAGTCAGTCTCTTACTGAAAAGAGACTTCTTTTTCTTCTCTGTTTCATTTTAATTGTCTTAAACTTTTAAATTTACATATGTTCATAAATTCTGATGTAACTTCAGAGTCTAAGGTAAGTGGGCATTTCAAACCTTCCAAAATTTATTTGTAGGACAACACCACAGTCATTTTAAACATTTCTGTAAATAAAATCATCCTTCCACATACTTTGCTGTTGAAAATCTCTGTTGCCCTCAGTAGTAGTACATACAGTCAGATTAGGTGTAAGTAATGTTTTGGAAGTCAGTCTCTATAACAAACCGATTTTCTTCCTTTAAGAGATCAGTGGGAGATGCCATGAAGTTTGTTTATGAGGAAGGTGAACCTTAGAAACTGATTTTGTAAAATCTGTTCATATAAAGAGTAAATATATCTTTCATCCACAGGAAATAAAGCCAGATGAAGTTACCAGACTTGCTCTTAGGACAGAAATTAGTTTTGAAAGTGCCTGCAGAAAGGTAAGGCTTGTTGGTTTTTGTTTTCTTTCTCCTGCTTCTGTGAGTATGAGAGTGCTGCTTAGAAAAAGGTCCATATGTGGGTGGGAGTACGTGCATTTACACAGTGTGTTCTGTATGTTATATTGTGTCTTCATTGTAGACCGTACTTCCTTTTCTAAGGAAGTATATCCACTAGGACATATCTACAAAAAACTGTACAGCTGTTTAGTACAAGTGGCTTGTCATCTAGGCTGGTGGGCTAATCCCTAGTAACTGGAATAGAATACAAGGAAGAATAGTAGTAGGTTTTGAGTCATTATAAGTAGCTTTGTTTTGTTTATGTAGGACATACACATGGTTCAGTTAGTGTAAATAATCTCAGCTTTCAATAACAATTGGAAAGAAGTTCTAAATACTTTTAGATGCAGAGAGAATTTCCCACATGTGAACAGAACGTAACATTAGCCTGAAATAAAGGTGGAACCACCCCTGTGGCCTGTTAATTTCAGTGCAATGTTTTTTCTGAAGCCTATTAATGGTACATTATTAAATATTAACTGTCTAGCTAGTGGTGTCTCTAAGAGATGAAATGAAGATATAGAGGTGAAAAGATCCTTGTTGAAATAAGCAGTCAAGGTTGAGAGCAGACAGGAAACTCTCAATAAAGAGTGAAGAAGAGCAGAGATAAGTACCATTTTAAGTGATGTGTGGCAGAAATTATGTCAGAAATCAATTCTGAATCAAAAAAGTCAATATATGAAATTGTATATCTTCCTCCACATTATCCTAATTTTTTCCGCATTATCCTAAGTCCCTATGGGTGGTCCACTGAAGGATTCTGAAATCTGAAATGTTTATAGTCCACAAGGTAAGTTTTAGTGTGGAATTCAGTCATTTTCTCCTATAATGGCATCATTAGTTTGGAATATAACTGTGGTGTTGCAAAGCACAGTCATGTGTGATATAGGTGAGCTATTAACATAGTGTGCAGCAGGATTTCCATGCTTCAGGTGAACAGAGTCAAGTTAATAGGAAAATAATCATAGGAACGTGGTATTTCTGGAACAGTGTTTGGGTGGATGTGTCTTATTGCTTTTCCTTCTCTTAATGATAGAAGAGAGTAAGGAAAAGGTCACAGATATATTGACATGGAGCTAAACAGCATTCTTCTTTTAAATTTATTTGACCAAGATTTTCCAGGCTGAAGGTACGCTAGTCAGAAACTGGTTACTGTAGTGTTAGAAGTGGTGCAGAAGTGAAGATTCTGATGTGCGAGGACACATGGAGAGGGATTTCATGCTTGAAGAGGGGTGCCAAATTCAAACAGTAAGATTTTTTGTTAGTTCTGTAGGCAAATCAAATGCAGCAGGCTTATGCTGGTTATATAAAGTATAGGAGACCCAAAATTAAATAATTAGTGCTATTATTTTAAAGGAGTTTACAGGTTTACGGTTGTAATTTTATTTTCTAAGAGGACAATTTTATTGCCAAGAATACAGAAGGAATATTATTAATCTCACTAGTTTATTTTGTCCCATTATTTTTGATGTATTCATAGTCATGGCTGACTGTACACTTTCCATGTTTACTTAGAGTATGCTTTCATTTAGCTGTAATCCTTGAAAACAAATACAGATCTCTTAATGGAATTGTTATGGTTTTTAGAACCATTGGTATTTCTGTTACTTTCTGCTTCTGGTCATGTTTTTCAATGGTAAGAAAGTCCGCTAATCTCACACCTTGTAGTGAATGGGTCTCATGTTTCAAATCAAGTTCATGGATGGTTGCTGATGTTTTTTTAAAGCCATAAAGGGTTTTTAACCTCACTGCAGTAGAAGAGCATGTGCAATTAATTATTACAGTACTGTTCACAAGTAGCAGCTAAGCCATCATACCTTAATTGGTTGCTATTCATTGCCCATAGCTTGTCCTCAACTAAAGAAGGTACCCCTTCTGTGATTTAACAAAAGTTAGTTTTCTAATATATTACTTCTTCTTTTCCCCAGTTAGTTATTAAACATACAAAAAAAATTATTTTCTAACCCTAGCAATATTCTGTAGGTCACATGAAATGCAGACCACACTGTTTACCTTTTCATTTACTTGAGTTTCGAAATATTTTAAGGAAAACATCCTGTGGCTGTTTTCATTTTCAGAATAGGTTTGTTTTCATTGATAAAAGGCAATCTGCTTTTAATTCACTGTGGAATGCGAAGTATTAGTTTCGCATAGTGGACATGTAGACAAGATATTTGTTTAATTCCTTCTGTCCACTGAGATTTTATGTTCCATTAATGTTTCCCCATATATTTTTCAGAACAATATAAGCATACTTTCCTATCTAAAAAGAGTTTGCATAGATTTCAGTCAAGTACAATAAAATTGTACCAAGTGTTTAGCAAGTGGCACTCTAACTTGAGTTCTAATGATTTAACTGTCCATATTGCTATACTGATGGTTGCTAACAAGCAAATCAAATTTATGATAGTTGCAGAGTGAACTGGCAAGAGTCACCACCCACATGACACAAGTCTTCTTCCTTTTCTAATTTATAAAAATGTTTTAGAGCTTACCATGTTACTGTAAGTAGGCGAACAGTTCTTTGTGCACCTCTGATGAAATATATCTAATCTGTTTTAATATTGCTGCTGTTGGCACCATTGCTATCAACGGGTGATAAATTCTATTGTAAAAATTGTAATGAATGTTGCCATGCAACTTTAACTAGGTTGGTGCTTAGTTATAGCTGTTGAAAAATTGAACCTGTATTTTCTAGGCGTGGACTAAGTTTCTGTGCACTTCCTGCACACGGTTGTCTGCAACAAATGTATTTACCAGTCATTAATCAAATTTTAAAAATATGACACAGATCTGTTGTCTTAAAATGTTTTTTTAAAACTGGTATGTCCAGCTGTGATAGCATTTTGAAGTGTTCCTTACAGCATATGTACCTGAACTCTTACGGGAGGCTTGGTTCATTAGTGTTTTGCTGCAGCACACCAGTTATAAATTGGAAGCTAATCCTAAAAATGCTGTTAATTACATGCAGGAAACTGACTTGGGAATTGACAAAGGTCTTAGCTATTATCTTCAACTTATTGCTAACATAAATTTAAGGTAATTTACGTTAAGCTAGGTAGGATAGATAGGTTAATATGAATTAATATTTTTCTAGTACTTGAGAAATTTTGTATTATCTGTGCTGTTTCTCCAGAAGAGGGGACATTGGTCCACCTGTGAACACCTTCACAATAGCCACAGCTGGCTTTGTTGCCTTTTCACTAGTGGTAACAGATATTGACTAACTTATTGTAGTACCTCATTCAGTTTTTCTTCCAATAAGTCTTTGGTATATAGGGCATGAGGGGAAAAAAAAAACACTGTGTTTTAGACACTGAGAATGACAGAATTCTGCTCCAGCATAACTGAACTCTACTACAAGCAACAATCTGGATTGCTATCTTGCCTTAGGTCATGATACTTCCTGATTTTTCTAAACAATAAAGTCTGTGTGCTTCAAAATTCAGCGACTTTCAGATTTGTGGTTGGGGAGGAGGAGCTGAAACTGAAGCTGCAAAGAACTATTGTCTTTTTCTTCAAGTGAAGAATTTAGTACCAGTAATCATTATTGTCAGAGCTTGAATTGAGCACATGCTTCTGACTTGCAGAAGTACCAACAAATATTCACAGGTAATAAGTACACGCTCTGTTTTTTGCTTCCAGATACAATATTCACATAACCTTAGTAGCATTTTTTTCCTTTTTTTTTTGCACCAAGCTCTAATCTGTGGTCGTAGAGAAAAAGACCACCTTTTCCTGCTAGGTTTTGTATTTTCACCTCTTACTCCAATACTGTCATGTTTGAATCATGCAGATGCTTGTCTGCAAGAGGATTCTCCACAGCAAATTTTGAGTGTATTGCGATCTTCAGAGTTTATTGGGGCCATGCCACATCCCTTTGATTCTCAAGATTACTGAAAAGCTTGCCACAATTTCTAAGTGTGTTTAAAAATTTCTTCTAGACCAGAAATGTAAGCCATTACTAGCTCTTAGAAGCATTTTTTTTGCCTGATGAGGACAGCTGTACATAACATGATTTTGGAAGGATGACATTAGTGCTGTCTAGCTTCAGGTCCAGATATTTTTAATGGATGCCCAAAGGCTGTTATGCTATACATTTAAAGTTCTAGGGTTTTTCAGAAGTGAGTGGATTTAATATCTATGGCTCTTCACCTATATGGCTCAAATGAATTTGGGACTGAGGAACCAGCTAAAATACTAACAGTAATAAGAGAAGGTTTTATGTTATTTATCAAATGAGAGTCCTAGTGCTTCACGTGTGAAAAGACCCTGTTTCACCTCCCAAACTTCTCTGTGAATTCACTGGATTTCTGGTGTGGAAGTAATGAGGTCCTTGGGCAAGGACATGAGAAAGAGGTAGAAAGGCATTTCTGCCCAGGACAGACAGGAACAAAAAGGATGAAGTAAAGGGCTGATTATGCATTACCTTTATCTCTTTCAAAAGAGTGTTTAGAACACATTATCAAAGTAGCTCTTCCCAGATTCATATCACCTTTTTCTTAAATTATGCAGGTGATGGCCTGAGATTAGTCTGTCAGTCCACGACCTCTCTTTCATCGGTAAACAAAAAAAGATCAAGGATAGAATAGTCACAGTGCTTGTGTTGTTTTATGTTCTCCTTTGTAGATGTACAATAAAAACGTGTTTCACACCAACAACCTGTGGAAGGCAGTTTATGAAAGGCTACTAATTGTGAGGTATTAATAGTCAGTAAGTTAATTATTCAGAGCATCAGGTTCCCAAGAGTGTATCAGTTGGTTACAAGACACTAACACATACAAGACATGGTTATACAAACAATAAATGCATAACATTCATTCTAATCAATACACTTATTTATTAAGGAAATTTTAAACTTGGTACTGCTCATGTTTTTTAGCTGTGTGACGGAAAGAAAGGAAGATGTAATTTCATTTCTGCATCAAATAGATCTTTTGATT